ATAGTAATTTTTTCTTTTCTTTTTTACCTTTTTTCCTTTTTTTTATCTTCATCACTTTCGATAACAAATGGACCCTTTTTTCTGTTCTTAACAACTTTTTCATTGCCTTGATAGATCTGGAATGTGCATCCAGTGATACATCCAATGTTTGCACCTAAAAAAACTGGAGTTATGGAAGACAGTAGAGGGCCGTTAGACTGGTTAATCGATGAAATTAATTCATTGAATTTACATTCTAGTATCTTTGGTCGGTGTTTTGTTTTTTCGTATCTTAATGTTATAGTGTGCTGTCCCATATTGATGATCTTAGAGTTTTTACGTCTTCTTCTAGAGTTGATATTTTTGTAATCAACGAGTTTAAATTAGACTCCACAATGCATAATAACGAAGTCTGGTTGCCTGGCTTTGAATTTGTCAGGAAAGATAATAAAGTTAACGGAGGAGTGGAGGTGGTGTTTGTATTGCTTGCGCACAAATCTTAACTTCCGAATACATAACGATCCAAACAGAAATGACTTGGAGTGTCTATTTTTCGAAATCAATAAGCCATTCTAAGTCAGTACCTGGTACCGACCCCCAAACTCTCCATCTGATCTTTTTGATATGTCCGAAAGAGTAACTTCCAAAAGTGACGCCAAGAACAAAATAATTATATATACTTGGCGATGAAAACTGCAATTTGTTGCCCGAAACAACTGCACATTTCTTCCTTTCTGAATATAATTTTTTTTTATGTTTATGGCTTATGCTAGTCAATTAGGGAACCAACAAATTTCACTTCTGTTTCTAATAATAAAGTATTTATATAGTGCTAGTTTTCTCAAAGTCCAAAGTATTATATTATTATTGCTATTACTTCTTTTTCTAATGCTTTAATTGATTTTATGCATAACAAACTCCCCAGATAAGGTTTTAAGATTGGGTGTCATTCACCTTGGTATAGGTGATCATTCTCTTGTTTTTTTCGACGCGTAGGGCCTACTATGACCATAATGATCCTCGTGCGAGCGAGACGCAGCAATTCAAGCACTTTGACAGTTGCAAGTTCTTAAGGGTCTCAATCAAATGCCATGGGGCCATGTCGATTTGTATTCTGACCCAAGTTACTCGTAGCGTGAATAGAAAAAAATGTCTCTCAACTGTGTCGACAAACACGCATCACTCAATGAAAAGAATCCGTAAAAGCGATGTCCAAAGTGGATTACCAGTGGCGTCCTGAGCAAAACCAGAAGAAGAGATTTCCTTAAAAAGAAGACAATCTCTTCCAATGAATCAGCCCCCGGCATGGGATCAATATAAGCGTGTTATTAACCGGGCAAATAACGTAGTTAAGCTCGCAGAAACTCGATGTTTCTGCCAACCTGAAAGCTAACAAAGGTAATTTGCGAAAAATATGGAACCTAATTAACAAGTTAACCTCTCGTACCAGGCGGCAGAAAGTCCATTATCGGGGAAATCAAAGCTGATAACAAAGTAGTTAGTGATCCCGTAGAGAAGCTTAGATATAATGGAAACTTTTAACGAACACTTTACTCATATTGCGCACGTATTAGCAGAATATATTCCTGCTGTAGAAGTAAATCCTGAATTCTATCTGGAAACTACTGGTCCTATGCTTTTCCTAATTTACATAAATGATCTCCTCAACTGCCTGCTGGCCGCTGCGCCAAGGATATTTGCTGATGACAAAAGACGTTAACGGGTCTCAACTAAACAATAATCGCCCCATTTCCCTATAACCTGTATACCTGAATTTTCCAAAGTATGTGAACGAGCAGGCCAGGCTTAACCCGCTTACTTCCCCCAACCCGGTATTTATGGCTCCCATCGTCAAAACTTTACCATTATATATTAAAGACAGCCAACACGCTATTTAAATTTATGGAGACTTCAACTTCCTTGGCCAAAACAAACTTCTTTTCACCATGAATATTACCTCTCTTTACACTGTCATTCCTAATGGCGAAGGCTTCTGGCCCTTAAACATTTTTTTGATCAACATACTGTTAAGGAACCTAAATCTGCAGTAAATGGTTTGAACCCGGGGGTAACATGTGAAGGTGTAGTCTGATCGTCCGGGTGAGTGTAGTCCTGAGAAGGACTGTTGTCGGTGGTAGTGACTGACGTTTCGACAACCTGTGCGGAAGTCATCATCAGAGTCAAGTGAATGATTGTTGTCAGTAGAATGTTCTTATTCCAGTTCGTGTGAAATGATCGGTTGGTTTTGCCGTGATGTTATTGGCTGTAAGACTCAAGTGACGTAAGTCGGTCGTGATTGGTCTGTTTCGATCTGTCGGTAAAGTTAGGTCGTTCTTTTTCGGTCGTTTGTGATGTTTATGTCGTGAATGAGTCGTTTNTATTCATTAATAATCCTATTGACCACTTTCATAAATGGCTGCCAGATTAAAATTCTTTTGTTTAAATTTAAATTAGTCTTTCTGGTCTCGCTTGAGATAATGTATCTTTTGAATTTTGAACTGGAGAACGAGGCCAGAAATGCCAACTTAGATTTAAACAAAAGAATATTAATCCGGCAGCCATTTATGAAAGTGGTCTATGGTGGACATTTGTCTTTATTCTCATCAGCTGTCTGCTTGATTTTGTATTGATGTTCTAAGAAGAAATTCTGTCTTGGCCACTAATGGAAGTTAACGTCTCAAGTAGCGGTTTTCTATGAAGTGAATTTTTTTTTTTGTACTGAGCAGCGACCATTTAAAGCGTAAAAAGTTTTGCCGTTGATAATCTGACTCAAAGAAACGTAAAATGTAAAAGCAATAGACATTTTTGTTTGGTTGTGAATTGAACATAGCATATAATTCTAACATTCTAGTATCTATTGGTCTACGGCCAACCTGTTATGGCCACTGGTCGTGATGAAATGTGACGCTGGCCGCGGGCCTGAATTAAGCAACAGTTATTCTTTTAAAACATAGTCCTTCCTTAGATGTTTTTAGATCATTAGGTCCTCGGTGCAGCTGAACTGGTCTAGATCCCAAGGGGGGTAACTTTCTAAAGAAAGTCGTTGTGGTTCTGCGTCGTTGGGGGCTATAACAAGATCGTTTGGCTTATGTAAATTGCCCATTTCCGAATTATCTTTGGCCTCTTTTTCAAAGCGAGACGTGGTGCTCATCTTTGTTATATGATTATAAGTTTTCATTCCCATGCAAATCAACTGATTTTCGTTCAAAAGGTTAAGCACCAGGCCTCGTTTTGGAAAAGAGATCAAAGGTAATTCGGAAATGGCCTATTGGCCAATGTAAATTGGCCAAAGTAAAGAGTTGTTAAAACTGATGTTTTGAGTGTTAGCCCTTCCAGATCTCATTTGCCTGATCTTCAAACTCATGCCAGCAACAACACCGTGACAAGTAAGTAACTACACCCAGCTGTGACAAACACTATCACTCCTCAAAACCATTTTTACTTAATATACAATAAGATTTTATCTAATGTTCTATCAAATGCTTGGGATCAGGGATCGAATTGATGGTAGCAGATGTTTTTGGTTTTACGGTGAGCGAAAGTTCTGCCATGTTCAGAATGTGATAACGGCTTTGAAAACTGGTGTGCTTTTCGGAGGTGTCTATAGGTTTTGTGCTATTTCATTTCCAATAATAATAATAATGATGGTGATTCATTGCAACTTAAGTTTCTTGAGAAAACAAATAAATCTTATAGCTTATTGTCTCAAAAGCCGGCCTTCAACAGGCATACTGCATCTTTTTTTTATCCAAAATACTTTTAGCGAACATGACCATATTGCTTCAGTTAAAAACGTAACATAGCATAAGATTCCCAAGTTTTAGAACCCGATTTTATAAATTTGATAGAACCTAATATGAGCATAAGAGCAAACCACACGTCTCGGATACTTGCTAATTTAAAGTTGAATATTCGTTAATGCCGGATGACATGCAAGAATAAATTAAAAAAAGCTTAGATTTTGGGCTTTAGTCGGTCCTATGTTGGAGTATTTGTTCTGACGAATACCTAGCGCCCGTGACATTAACGGTTTATTTGTTTCAACCAACTTAGAGCCAAATTTAAAACATATACAGTGCTATACTTAGTTTAGAAAAGCTGAATAGTTATGACAACTCTTCTTTATTAAAGACCGTGCTTTCTACCTAAACCTTAGAGAATTGGTTCATGCCTCGCGTGCGTATATCAAGTTATGACTGCACGATGGAAGTTTGTTGAGGAAGAGAGAAACGTAATTAAGAGTTTAGCTTCTTGAGTGCTCTCCAAACTTCCTAAGTGCATCCATTTAAAAATAGTAAAGCGTTATCCGTGCTCTGTTCTGTTGTAAAGTACTTAGGACGCGGCTACTTGCTAGCTTGCTTATTTCCGAAATTTCAGCTTGAGTGAGGTCCGGAAAAAAGGTCTGACATTGCACAAATTAAAAATTATTCTTGCGTCAGGTTTCCCAGGTAATCACATCCACTCGATGGGAAGTATGAGTAAAAGGCAAGGAAGAAATGACCAAGAAATATTTCAAGACCAAAGCTTTATTCAAACAATTTTAAATTTGCTGATAACAAGCTTAACACAAAATGTAATTTCTGACGTTTGAGTGACATGGGAACGAATTAGTCAGAAATTAATATTCTGACGGCACGTTGAAGAGGTTCGCGTGGCATCATGGTAGTTTCGGATTATTTAAGCGTTTCCGGGGAAAATTAAGTCATTCTAGGTCGGTCAGTCTTATTAGGGTTGACCATTTTCTTTGTAGAGCTCTCGTATTTAATCCATTGCTATCAAACATGTCAGTAACAAAAGAAGTGCAAGATTTTATGAGCAACTCTTTAGCGGAGAAGCATTACTGACGCAAATTTGTAAACTTGTGAGCGATTCCGCCGAAAATTTAAAAAGAGCTAACCGAGAAGCTGCAGACGAACAACTGAGACAAGTGAAGAAGTTAAGAAGAGAAGAACCGAGATCATTTAAACGCAAAGGGAACGAAATTTAGTACAAGTTTAACTTAAAACTGCAGGATTCCCTAGACGGAAGCGAAAGCACACCTTGAAACAAACGCTGTTGAGAAAGCCAAGGAGTCGTTATCAGAAGGTACGTTGCTTCTCACAAATAGACAAAAGTTACTTTTGTTAGCAGATAAATCTGAGTTCGGTTGGAAAACAGTCGACGAATATTCACAACACGAGCTGGCAGAAGATGAAGATGATCGAAAGAAGCTACGTCGCGCCGAAGAAAGAGCTGAGAAAGCTTTGAAGTCTGCCACTACTAGAAAGACAGCCAAGCGAGGCTCCTCAGTTTTCCGCCCGTCAAGTTCACGTTTTACTCCACCGACCCAAAGAACTTCCTCTGGGTTCAGTACCTGGCGTGGCATGATCGCTTAAATTTGTTCAGTCGTTCCTCGGTTGATCGTCCTTCAAGACCTGGAAATCGTTTCGCTTGTGGCAGATTTAGGCATTGGAGGTCCGAATGCAACCAGATCGCTCGTTCAGGGGTCGCTAGAGGTAACCCGAATAGTAGATGACTAAAGAATTCATTCGTTGACGAACAATGTAAGTGTGACATTTCCTTTATGAACCCTTTAAGTGATTCGGAAAATCTTTCCCGTCAAGGTCTCGTCCAAGATTCCGAGAACTATGAGATTGAATCGCAAGGCACCAGTGGCAGCTATGACTCCGTTATTCCGCAGGTTTCCGTTAAAGGGAAGCTGTCTAAATCTATTGCGTTTTGGCATTCCATCGGAGCACCAGATTTTATCTTGAGCGTCTTCAGAGACGGTTCTAAGATTCCCTTTCTGTCTACGCAACCACCTCATCATTATAAAAACAATTCATCCGCCCTAGAAGAACGGGGTTTTGTTACTGAGGCTATTTCAGAACTCTTATGTGGGTAAGAGGATATTTGTAAAAATCCTTTGAAAACAGTGAAGATGGACAGTATCGACGATCTAGTCAAGTCGATGAGTTTACCCGGGGTACCTTAGTATGTGTGAAGAGTTGGTGTTAAAAGACTATGGGCAGGACTCGTTGAGAGAGATTTGACTAGGTTCCAGGTTGACCGCGCATTAACGGTCTCTCAGCTGCACAAGATGTTCCTTCCACGCATTAGAAGAATTTCGAACGGCCGTTAATTTGAAACTCTCGCTAGATTGGTTGTTCGACAAACCGACTTTTGTGGGATTTTTTTCGGTGAACTTAAAGGACAACTATTTGGCTTTCGCGCTGCCGAGTTTTGATTCGAGGGAAGGTATTTAAGTGTTGTTTTCGAGCGATTTTGGCGAGCATGTGTCAACAGAAGTTTCGACCTTCTCGTATTTTATGCACGGTAATTTAGGGCGTCAAGCTAAAACACATCAAAACGGCCTCAAATCGCGAGGAGAACAACACAGACTACTCTCTACGAAGCTAAGACTTTATTTCTTTGATTATTTCACACACCTTTACATTTACGGAGCTCAAAAGCAAGTCCAACTAAACCACTATACAAACTCTTTAATTATTCACTGTGAAAGAGCCTGTGACAGAGCTTGGGCCACGTGTGATGTGACAATCACGCAGAGGAAATATTCTCTCCTCCGGACATCATCAATCCGTTGTCTGTCTCCGTTCAAGCCAACGGTAAAAAGAGATCGATCTTGGATTTAAGGCATATCAATTTGCATATATTTAAGCAGAAGTTTAAGTGTGAAGGGCTACTACATACATGCCTTATCCAAAAATTACTTTGTATTCTCATTTGATTTGAAAGCAGGTTATCATTATGTTGATATCTTTCCAGACCATCGCAAATATTTGGTTTTCTCGTGGGATTTTGGCACAGGCGTGGACTGATATTTTCAATTTACGGTTTTGCCTTTTGGATTTTCTAGTGCACCTTTTATTTTCACAAAGCTGCTAAAACCTTTGGTAGCCCACTGGAGGGGACAAGGAATTCCAATCGCTTTATTTTTTGATGACGGCATTGGGGCTGGTTCCTCGTTGAATTCTGCTAACATTAACAGTTCCGATACAATGAATATATGAAGTTCATATATTTTGAACTGCGGTATTAAATACGTATGATGCACGATCCTTCGCAGTAGATAGCGCTATTTATGCAATAGCGAAAGTCAGACCTGAAAAAAATCAGGCCTGTACGGGATTCGAACCACTGACCTCTGCGATACTAGTGCAGCGCTCTACCAATTGAGCTAACAAGCCAACTGGGAGCAGGCCGTTAAGTTGATTCGTAATAAACCCGTGATGATAAATCAGATACAATGAATATATGAAGTTCATATATTTTGAACTGCGGTATTAAATACGTATGATGCACGATCCTTCGCAGTAGATAGCGCTATTTATGCAATAGCGAAAATCAGACCTGAAAAAAATCAGGCCTGTACGGGATTCGAACCACTGACCTCTGCGATACTAGTGCAGCGCTCTACCAATTGAGCTAACAAGCCAACTGGGAGCNTAATACCGCAGTTCAAAATATATGAACTTCATATATTCATTGTATCTGATTTATCATCACGGGTTTATTACGAATCAACTTAACGGCCTGCTCCCAGTTGGCTTGTTAGCTCAATTGGTAGAGCGCTGCACTAGTATCGCAGAGGTCAGTGGTTCGAATCCCGTACAGGCCTGATTTTTTTCAGGTCTGATTTTCGCTATTGCATAAATAGCGCTATCTACTGCGAAGGATCGTGCATCATACAGTATTAACAGTTCCATTGTTCATGCGGATCTTTCACTTTGTGGCTTCGAAATTAACAAAGAAAAGTCCCGTTGGGAGCCCGAGAGAAAATTTTCTTGGATTGGCTATGATATTGACACTCAAACGGGGTTCGTATTCGCAAGTGCAGTGAGAATGGAAAAACTGTTAAATGACCTTAATTAGGTTTGTTCAGTTTTAGAGGCATCCGCGTTCATTCATTTAAAGAGAATTGCTTCTATTAATATTGTCGGTCAAATTATTTCGATATCTCCTAGCTGTGGAAATGTCACTCAAATCATGACCAGGTACTTGCATCTACTTATCATTAGTCGTCACTCCTGGAATTCAGTGGTCGATGTTACTGATCCAGCGAAGGTAGAACTTACATTCTGGTGAGACAATGTCAGATCCTTAAATGGAATTCCTTTTTGGCAGAAGCCTTTTGTGCCTTCTAAGGAGTTGTTTTCAGATGCTTCTTCCACTGGCTGCGGAGCCTTCATTAAAGGTTCCAGCTTAATTTGCCACAGAAATTGGTCCACCGAAGAATCACTAAAATCTTCAACCAGGAGGGAGTTAGTTGCCATAAAGTTCGCCCTTGATTCCTTCGAAGATCATATGACTGGTCAGAGAATTCGCTGCAATAAAGATAGTCAAGTAAACTCCACCTTTTAATGTTTCCCTCTCTTCAGAGTTTCACAGCGTCGTATGGATTACAGCCTCTCTACCTACGTCGCTCCGAAATTTTTTTTAAGTTTTGAAAAGGGTTTATTCATAACAAACCACCTAAGTTAAGGCCCTGTTTACAAGCAGGTAGGGTAACCCTAGTGCTAGGGTTACCCTGCCAGGAGGGTTACCCTAACGCTCCCACATTTCTTCTTTTTTTCATCGACGTGTTTACAAGGCAGCTAGGGTTACCCTGGCACCAGGGTAACCCTAGCTGAGCGCTAGGGTAACCCTATTTATTTGTACTCTATCACCACTGCTGTACCTCTAATTCTCGCCCGCCTCGACTAGCTCCTGCTATTTGCGGGCGTGAACGGTCTTCATGAACATGAAAGTGTAAATTAGATCATTAATAACTAGATTAATTTTTAATTTGTAATTTGCAATTTTCTTATTAAGCTTTCTTTCTTTCTTATTAACCTTCAATAAACGAATTATCCACTTTGTTCTTAAACCCTAGCGCTAGGGTAACCCTAGCTGCCTTGTAAACGCTCTGCTAGGGATAACTCGCCTACCCGGGACAACTTTTTACTTGTTTCCAGACTCTTTGAACATTGATAACAATGCGTGCAGTTACCAAGCATAGGTAAGTTGTCCCGGGTGGTAGGGTAACCCTATCTGTGAAATTTTGCTTCTAAACCCGGGCTATCTTTGAAGGCG